ATTGGTCGTGAACAGAAGCGTTCATGACCCGAGGTACCACTGTATATATAAAACTTTAGAAGGTTAATTTAGGGTCTATTATAATAGCCTGAGCTGAAAGATTTGTCCTATTTTAATAAAAAAAATTCAGTCCAAAGAATTTTACAATACCACCATGTGTGATAATATGTAACGATTTCTTTACATTTCATCCAACACATGGGACTTACACTAGAATTTATCAGAAAATGCCTAACCTGATTCTGCTGGCATGTCATACCCCCCCCACCCCGAATAAAAGAAACAATTCTTTACATATTCGTTTATTTAAAAAAAATACAGTCCAATCATGTGTGGTGCTATGTATTATATAAAGAAATGTCAAATAATTACAAAAATGAAATACAAGTAAAACAAACTCAGTTTCTTTGGTAACTCAAAGGGAGAATAGTTGTCGGGTGTTGGTGAATGTTGGCGTGTCACCCAAAATGTGGTATGTCACCTTTGACACGTGTCATAGGTTTGCCATCACTAATTTAGAATTTCTATTGCATACATGGCATTAATAGGCCATTACAATACAAAACAAATCTTCAAAATGGAAATATGACGAAGCCATTTTCCTACTTTCAGAATTATTTTTTTTAACAAGTTAATATCATCACCTCCTTAAAAAGGCCCATATTCACAGTGAGACTTGTATGATTGGGAACTTTTGAATTATTCAGATCGGAAGATAGTTCATCCAACTGTTTCCACTTGTTGCAGTAGGACAAAAATCTGCCAGTCCAGGCATGTATTTATTTTATTTATTCATTTTACATCCTGCATTTCTACCAGTACAGCCTTTAAACAGCAACTGTGACGCATGAAGACTGTGTTGCAAAGCAATAAAAGAATGCCAATTATACAAGGAAAGTTTAGCTTTTGCAGCAATCCAAACAATATAAACGAGTAATAAGAAATGAAAGCATTTTGAAAAATCAAATCAAAAGATTCATAATTTTTACAGTGTAAACCTATGTTAAAACCAAAGTCCCACTGACACGTTGATTTCAGTGGGGCTATCTCCCAAACAAATAAATCCAGTTTAACTGATAAAGCTAGTAAACCAAAGAAACACAAAACTTGGATAAAGGAGATGGATTATAGCAGTGTTCCCCAGCATGCTGGCTGGGGAATTCTGGGAGTTGAAGTCCACACATCTTCAAGTTGCCAAGGTTGAGAAACACTGGATTATAGCCTTGTGGTTTAGAAACAATAACAAAGGCACTAGGCAAAAGAACCTTGGAGGGGGAGAGTTGCAATAACTAGGGGTGGGGCACAACATTGTTGGACTAGCTAACCTTAAGCAATTTAGGACCTTTGTCCCCAGTAGGCACACCAACCACAGAAGCAACAGGAGGTGTTTCAACAGTTGTATAGGTTTATTGATGCAAAGGTCCATATAAATCCCTGTTTAATAGACTTCTTAATTCCAGCACAAACTACTTAGAGATAGCCAGACCTACCTTATCGCTAAGGTAAATAGAGAGATACTATTTTTAGTTATATAGCTACCAAAAAATATGACCCATTGCTCCTTACTTTCAGATATATTCATGCCTTCAGATCAGCAGAAAAAAAGATAAAACAGGAAAGGTGAAATGAAAGAACAACATGGTGTAAGACAGAAATGCATTAAACTGAGCTGAATCAATTAACCTTTTTTTCCCTCTTAATACTATCTGGCAAAACAATGTGTTGGATTCTGACCAGCAATTTTCAGTTAGTACAGATCTGGAGAATACTGTGTTACTCCCTTTTTGGAAGGTAGACATTGGGATACATTTTCTTCTGATCTCTGGAATGATATCTTCAGATACCAATATTCCATAATTTATCTCTCAGAATGAGCACTTTGGTTTTTGATCTTGTTTCTCATGGTTTGGGTTGTGGTCTCATATCCTCCCAACCATTCCATGCCCACTTTTGATACAATATCACTGATCTGGAATGAATGTCTTCCTGGTCATTCTGTAATTTTTCATTCATCACCCATGCAGCAAACAATTATGGTATTAAATATGTTCAGATAAGCTACTGATTAAAACATGAAGTTATATTATTTCCTTTCACATATTGTCTCAGAGCAGTCCAGGTCCCACCCTAGCAAACTACAGAGAAGTCCTTATATATACTTAGCCACTGAATGTAGGGGTATCTGAAGAAAAGCTGCTAATGGTGATAGCAGGAAGCAGGTTGGTACAGGCAGTGCAAGACTGCTTTGCAGTAACCCAAGTCCCAATATTTACAACAGAAATATACACCTGATGATCTCAGATCTGATGGTGCCCCCTCCAAACCTTGGGGACACTTTCCAGAGCCAAACCAAAAGTTGTCACCAAATTTAGATACACAGGCAGTATTTACATTCAATATATTTCACTGATTTCAATTATATAACATCACATTTCATTTTTATCCCGGCTTTGCTCACCTTTTGAAATGTGGTCCATGGCATGCCTAATGTGGTCTTGTGCCAAATAAAAATTACACATTCCTGGTTTAGGGATTTAGAGATTAGAACCTGGAAATATAGGTCAACATCTTTAAAATATGTCTGTGATGGGAGGTGCATATTTGTTTCCAATTTTCTGAAAAAAAGAAATTAGTGAAATATGGCAACACCAGAATCAGTGATAATACAGCAAGAAACTATACACATATTACAATGAATAAATTAAACATGGAGTAAAAAAAAAAACAAGAAAAATATAAAATCCATATAATACCATTAGAAAATTACTTCAGTCCTTAAATTTATTATTAAGGGTACGCTATATGGAAACAAAGTGTTCTATCTTCTTGTTTTTTAGAATACAAAGACATTTTAAAAATTGATAAACATTATATATCTTAAATCTACTCCTTAATAAGATATACATTTCTTTCTTTTTAAGCAAAATAATTCTCTTTCCTGAGCCCCAGGCTTGATAAAGCCAGAGGTCTTCATGAATGGTCAAATTCCATATTTTAGGAGCATAATTCAATGTTACATTTATATTTTTAACTCCTATATTTTTTTTATCAAGATTATGTTAACGTGCATTGTAAAATGAAGCCAAGCAGGGGCCATGAGTGGACAGGGCCAAATCATATGAGTCAAAGAGCCCTCAATTTCTTATAAAACATATCCTATTTTTTAAAAAAAGTATATATATATTCAAGAAATCCAGTAAATATGAAATAATATTTTTGATGGATTAGTTTCATTCTCAAATAATATATTTTACATTGCTTAGAGCTTGAATGCATTAATTTTCTAAAGTTGGATATTCTAATTTCTCATTCCTCATTTTTATATATTGCTCATGCTAATCTTTATCCTATTTCTTTCAAATCCATACAGTACTGAATTGTAGTTTCACTTCAAACACAGCATTTCTTATAGAACCTACAATTCGAGATACCTTTAAAGCTGCTAAAGCATCAGGACTATACTGTTTTGTCAATACATGTTTAGTTGTATAGACTGTTTAGCAGATGCTGCAAGTAAGTTATAGTCAGAGCATAATCTCTCAAAATCCTTAAAACAATAATTATGACTCGACTGATTTAAGGTGTTTATCACTTGTTTGGCCCAAGCCTTCCAATGAAACATCTTCCTTGATATCTTCAAATTACATCAACTTCTCTTGTTACTCTAGTTCAGAACTTAACCACTTACCTTTCAATGGCCAAATGGGTCTAGCTGTGTTCAAAGCTTGAAAAGACAGTCCCCGTTTACCATAAATTGATCCTAAAACTTGCCAAGATTTCAGAGGGGTCACACATTTACTTTCTAGCTGAGACCAAAGTAGCTATAGTCCAAAAAGTTCTCATTCTATAGAAATACATACGTTAAAATAAAGGCCCAATAATAAAGCTAAAAATCTGGTCAATTAAGCCATTATCATCATAGGACCTCTATTTGGCTCCACCCCGAGAGAGAGAGAGAGAGTCTCAGCTTGCCATACAAATATTTTCAATAGTTTATATATTTGTGTAAAATATCTAATAGGAATTAACACTGGAATCTCTCCTAAAATATATTTTAGTCTAGATGCAAAATGATGGAAGATATATACAAAAATGCATAAGAGTTTTCATGAAGAATTATCTGTTGTGAGATTTTGCAATGTGATGTGACTTTATGGAGCAAAACAAACTTCTGATCAGGAAATGAAAAACTGAGTAAATCCTAAGACTGTGGCTAGCCCTGTAGGTGGGCCATATACTGTCTGCTAAATAAAAGTCTGAAGTGGTCTTTAGATTATTATAAGCAAAACCAAAATGTTGTCTTCATGACTGTCAGCCCCCCAAAGTACTGTAAACTAAATACACTTTGTATGTGGTATGTATAGGAAGTGGTTCTTGGCTCTTTCCTTAGTTTACACCAAGTCTTTCAGTTCATCGTAGAGTTTGCTGAGGTTCTTCAGTTCCTCTTCAAGTTTGTTTGCCTGTCTTCTATCTCTGCAGCCAGTTCTGCTTTGGCTCCCTTCATCAAATGCTTGGCATCTTGGACAAGGCCATAGGCATCAACCAGGAGAAACACCCCGGCTGACAGAGCACTTAGCATCCTGGCTCCTTTAGTCATTGCAAGGGTAGATCCTCTGAAAGCTTTTTTAATATCTTTTGAGTTCCTAAACATGCTCCAGTAGCTGCTTCTTGCATTAGGTGCTTGCTTTGCTAAAGCCTTCAAGTGTGCTTGAACCATCTTCCACGCCTTTACATTTGTCTTAATCCTCTTTGCGGCCACGTACATGTCAGGAACTTGGCCGGAAATATTAGAGACAAGGTGTCTGACATTCTCCCCCAACACTCCATTATTTGGGGTCAGTTCAGTGTCGAAACCTATTGTATTAGGATGCGCCGACTTTCTTAGGCTTCTCTCACATTCCTTCATCAGCCCTTCAGCTTCCTTCCTTCCTTCCTTCCTTTTGAATTGATAATATTCTCATACAAAACTGCAGAAAGGCCTATCACTGTGGCTCCGGCCCCCAAGCCAATCCCGGTGGCTGTTAAGATTAAGCTCCCACCTGCTGTAATAGGAGCCAAGGTCAGTCCCAGGATGGTCAGAATGCCAGAAGTGGCACTTGTTGAGTTGGAAACAAGGCTGGCGGTGGTACAGCCCTTGTGGATCCTGTCAATGTCATTTGTCATTTCCTGAAGGCAATTGATGCACTTTTCAATCTCTTTTTTCCGGGCAGGAAATTCTTTCACAAAGTATTCCATGGCTGTTTCTTCCCAACCTTTCCTCCGTTCGTGTCAAAAATCAGAGTAATATATTTGTTTTCTTAAACATCAACGTGTTAGACTTTGTGGACTTTTGCCACGCTTTTCTAAATCATAACTCTTGTCCAAGACCTAGATTTAAAAAAAAAAACAACAGATTGAAAGCAAAACAATATTTTAACTGTGTTTTTGTTTATTTTTAATTAGAATTCAAGTCCATGCCTTCTGGGACAGTTCCTCAGTCATAAGACTGTTCTGATTCCCTTCTCTGAAACTGGAAGAATTCCAATGTTATAGAGATTTGACACTGGATTCCTTCTCTTGCCATCTCATCAATCCTTCTGACATCAGGATATCCCAGTGTTAAAAAGACTTAAAATGAGTCATGTCAGAGAAACAAAGGGTTTTTTAGGTTTTTTAAGGAAAAAAAAAAATCCCTGACAGTATTGGGCTAAGAGCTGCTCCCCTTCACTGCCTTGCTCATGGAAAAATAGTAGGCAGAGAGAATCAGAGTGCCTCATTTTCAGAGAGTTCCAAAGAACCAAAGTACTAAAGATAAGGTTGGTTTCTTATTTGTCGCCCTTGCATTTTAATCCATGACCTCAAGCAAGGTCTCCAACTCAAATATACCACCTTCAACAAATTAACTTACTTATCATCAAATAACACATACAATACTGAGTACTACCATATATATATCTCCACCTTGCTCCCATCAATGTTTAACTAATATCTAAGAAAACAAGTATTTAAGAAAAAAAGACATGAAACTAAAAAAGGGTAGGAAGAATAGAAGAGTGGAAGGAGAAATGCAACTATTTGAATAATCACTTTTAATCCTAGTGCAGACCTGGAATAACCATCTTGCCTTTTATCAATTAAACACTAAGTATTTCTGTATTTTGCCAAGTTATATAATGAAAAGTTGTCTGAAACATGTGCAGGTATATTTAAAAAGCAATCTGCATTGTGCTTTTTTATTTTAAATTTTGAAAGAGAGCTTCTCATTGAAATGATGCTTGGTCTGTAATGAAATCAACTAGTTTGTACCCCAACCCTGGCAATTATGAAAACTGCCTACGGCCCAGTCTACAGAAGCTGATAAAGGCACAACTTTCATTTCCATTACTTAAAGTGATCATTGGAGAGGATAAAATATTTCCAAAGATGCTACAAATCTGGATGGTTAATGGTGCACTATGGGATATTAATAAAGGATTTTATTCTGGCAGAATCTTTATCACTGGCAAATTAAAATTAGTTCACAGGAAGTCAAAATTCAAAGCTACATTCAGAGAAGTTAATCAGTTGATATTAATTAAGATCTAAGGGTAGACTCCAAAATCTGCTTTAAATCTTTAAACTTTTTGTTTATAATCACCTTTGCCATCTTAGCATCTTCTAGATATATTGTTCATTTACCAGAATTCAGGGAATTGCAGTTCCATCATAACTGGTGGCTATCAGGTTGGGTAAGGCTGATTTTGGGATAGATCTCTTTTCATACATGCTTGTGTACATTTTTAATCCATATGTGAGTGGGACTGTATTAGAAGTTGGACTGTTTTCCATCTATCCATCATACTTACTGTATATATTGATGCAAATAATTTTCCTTCCTTCTTTCCAACATTTTATTTATTAAAGTGGATGCTTTTAAGAAACAGGTGACCTTTTTTTTTTACTTCTGAGCTTAAATATCATACCATTTGCTTTACTAACCAATTGGAATTCCTGCTGCAGAATGTCAGTGTCTTTCTTTGTCTGCAGAACAAAATGGAAAATCTGAGGCATGTATTTTTCTTATTTCATAACAATCATTTACATGCAGCCGTTATCTGTCTGCTGCTTAAACCTCCCCTTTGGTGGTTCTTTAATACACATTTTCTATTAGTGGAGATTAATAGCTATGCTCCAGGGGAAAAGCAGCTAATCTGGGGCCAGCCAAAATTAAGATGCAGAGCAAATTGATAGTAAATTATATATATTCACTTGCAATCAGTGCCAAATTGAAGTGCATGCATATAACTCTGGCTAACTCTGTCAACTTTCTATAACTCCGTAGATTGAATGGTTAAAGCTGCTGTGTCATAAACAGATGTTTATGTTTGGTTTTAAAGTGTCACACATTCAAGATGTGTCACATATGCACAAATTCCATAGCATTTCTTCTGAACCATTTTCAGAATATACACAGCTGTCCTCTTTAACACGTATCTCTGAAAAGAATGATTGCCAACTGTTTGTTGGATCATTAAAATGAGATGTGTTTGTGCTGCCCTGGTAACGGTAATCACTGAAAATTGCAACAGTAATAATTACGTGCTTTTTTTCTCTCTCGCCTCCCCTCCTTCTACTCCCTTTCAAGACCACTGAAAGCAGCACATCCATAAATGTATTTTTTTGTAAAGGACTCGTATGGCAGTGATTGTTGCTGAATCGGTTGGTATGACTCAACTTCCCTTTCCTGCCAGAACTATTAACATCCAGCCACCCTCCCTCTATAACTTTGGTTCCTTGAAAAAAGTATGAAGATAGAAAAAAAAAAAATAGTGGAGTTTCGAGTATCTCGGGCATATCCATGAGTAAATAGTCTGCATTCAGGGATATAATAAGGAAGGACATGCTGGCAAAATTGTTACATTCAACAAACCATGACTGACAACATTTTAAAGGAAAGTTAAAGCCACATAGCTGATATCAGTTGGAAAAAAAACACAAGAAAATATTTGCCACTGCCGTGTAGCAAAAGATCATTTCGCTGTATCTTTTTTTCTTCTTGGAATGGAGGGCAATGAGAATCAAGATTATCTTTAAATACCATTTAGAGAGAAGTAGCATCTTTCCCCTGATCGTTATTCTTCCTGCTTTGCATATATTTGCATCCATTCTTGGTTAATCTGAAATTAATTCTATAATCCTTTCTGAAGTGGGGTAACAACTAGGTCAAAACACAAATGAGAACATAACAAATATGAAAGGTGATACAGGTTCTGGGTACTACTAAGAATAAGGCTTTCTCCAAAACCCCACATGAAGAGCTTTTGCTGATTTCTTTTTTGAGGCCTTTAGACCAAACTGAAGGGAGGAGGGAGAGAAAGTAACTGAATGGAGTGTTCTATGTACTCAAACACCCAAAGGGACAGTGTACATGCAACAAAACAGATGATCAGCTGAGCATATGTCTTTGGCTACAACCCCCAAATATATTGAAACTGAGATGGTTTTGAGCATCCTATGCAGACCAAAAAGTATGCTTCAGATCAGGTTTCCTTGTACGTTCTGCAGAGGTGGCTTAAAGGGAAGTCAGAAGATCTGAAGATGGTCTATATTTGAAAGGCAGTCTATCTCAAGACCACTTTGAAGAGAAAGTACTCTAAGAATCTCTTGAATGGGAATTCATGGGATGATCCTTGAAATTGCCCATCTGCAGTGAATGCCTGCACAGCCGACCAAGCAGGAAATAGGATGAGGAACAAATTTGGCTTCTACCAATTTTATATATGGCAATATTATGTTGCTTCTGTCCTGCTTCAAATAGTGTATGCAAATTTTAAAAAGTACCATAAGCTCATTACAAGCTTCAGAATTGGCTTTTTATTCATTTTTTTAAAAAAAAATCAGTATTGCATTTCTGCATTGCTAGAAAATGCGGTTTCTGCACATGGAAACTGAGTGTGCAAGTTGTCAAGGAACAATGGGGCTCATTTTCCCAAGGAACTTGCTAT